TAAGTTTATAATATCAATAGCCCCGATAATATCATCTCGATCCTAGGTACTGCCACTTTCCGTGTCCAGTCCTTCCATTGTAAACAAAGATCGCTGAGCAAAACCGTTCAGCGCTACATATAGCAGATGCTAGACGAAAAATATATGTATATCATTGCTACATATGGCAATGTTAGATGTAGCACGTATTTCTTTTGATATTTACCGACTCCCGATGGATAGCACAATTTTAGCTATATATAGCAGGATCTGCTACATATAACAGTGTTATATAGCACTTTTGTAAAGTTACTTTTTCTACTTCTAGCAAATGTCATATAACATTGCTAGATGTTACACAAATCTGCAATGTAGCAGGTTTAGCTACATAGTGTAAACCCGGCTTAAGGCCAAAATTATGAAAATCGGTCTGGTAGAAGAGCTAACCCGACTCGGCTAACCAATTATTTTTATAGATTGCAATAATTGATTTACCAGTATGCATAATCTAACCATACGAAAAATGAGTTGATAATTTAACAGCTTATTGTTATATTGTTATTTAATTAAATTTTCTTTGATTAAATATTGTTGTTAACAATTTGCATTTGTGTTTAAAGTGTGTTCTTTTATGTTAAGTGTGTTATTATGAGCTTAATATGTACCACATATTAGTGAGTAAAGTGGTGTATGGATTTCATAACCATTATTTTACTAGAGACCGTTGCATTAATTTAACCACAATGGGCTCTGTTGCTAGTCTATTAAATAAATAACATTAGGTTTAACGAAACGAGTACCAAGGTTTGCTGCTACAAGGAAACCAATTAAGTGTGTTTTTAGTAAAATATTAATTGTTTAGTATAAAATAAATAAATCTTCAAAGTTTTATCAAAATATATCCATAAACAAGGAAACTACAACTTATTACCATATATTCTCCATAAGAATAATATGGGGATTTTAAATTTCCAATTTTTTGAATTTTCCCCGTTACCAATAATCGTACAAAACCCCTTTGATATACTTAACCATTTGTTTTTTAAGCTCTTTAAAAAGGTCTAGAGAGAAATTGGGAAATTTTACGTTTTAAGGGTCAAAAATGAAAAAAAACAAATTTTAAAAGTATAAAATAACTTATAAATAGAAAACTTTTTAAATGCCACATTTTTAAACGCACCTTTTTTCGCCCATATTGCATCACTGTTTATTTTAACAGTATATTTTAAATTCAACCATTATATTCTTTTCCAGCATGAAATGTTCTATAATTTGATACCAAACCAGATTTTTTAACAATAATTTAAAATTTTACACTTTTTTTTAAATGGCGACCAAAAAACCGTATTTTGCGTAACAGTACAAATGTATATTTTTAGTATGTTTTTTATAAGTGTATAACCTACCATTTCTAACTGGAATAATTTCTGTTGCAATTAGTTCCACCTCAAACCCTATTTCTACTGCACTAATTGAACACCAACTCTCATCAATATCTCAGTTTTTAGGTTTTACATTTTGTTGCTCAAATTGCTAGTGATCCTCTGCTATACTCTCTGACACCTTCAACTTCCATTTAGGAAACAAGAGGGTAAATACACTTAACCTCAAATTAACCCCTTGTCGGATTATTTTGACATTTCTTTATCAATTCCTTTTCTTTAGGATAAATTGCCATTTTATGTATTTCAATAATCTTTCACTTGATATGACTGACCATATTTTTAAACCAAAAAGTTCTTTTAAAGAATGTGCACTGCTCACCTATTTGTCATTTTGGTTTATTTTTGAGATTAGTTACTGTATGATAAAGATAATACATAGTAACTTACTACACATTGAGGTTTTAAGAAACTTAGACACAAAAAGCTACTTCTAGACCTAAACATTTTTTAGACATAATTTTACTCATCACACATTTTCACCCTTAGTTGATTATGTTCTCTACTACACCAGCAAAAATGAAGAATTCATGTGCATCTGATCATACGGATTTGTCCCCGGATCAATTCAGAGATGATTTGTCAATTCGCTATGGCCGCACACTAAGAAATTTACCAGTACGATGTGATGGTTGTGATCAACCTATGAATCTTACACATGCTTTAAATTGTAAAAAAGGAGGATTGATCAAACTTGGGCATGATCAACATCGAGACCACTGTGCTGAGATAGCAAATATGGCCTGGAAAGGGGTTGAAGTCGAGCCTATTATGAGAGAAGCTGACCCCGCAAACAATGTGCCTGCTTTAAAAGCTGATTTTAAAGCTAATGGTATTTGGGAGGCTGAGAGAGTAGCGTTTTTTGATAATCGCATTGTTAATGCTGACGCTCCCTCTTACGCCAACCAAGAATGGGGAACAATATCTCGAAACACAATAAATATGACAAAGCAGCCGAAGACATCAGAGGAAGCTTCACACCATTAATATGTTCCGCAGAAGGAGTCCCCCACAAAGAATATGAAGCGTTTCAGAGGAGAACAAGCGAAGCCCTGGCTGTAAAATGGAGAAAACCATACTCCCAAATTATCGATGGTTGAGGATCCAAAGCCAGCTTTCCATTATTCGAGCAGTTTCGCTTAGGCTACGGGGAACTAGACGTAAAATTAATAGCATTCAATTTGAAGATGGTGCCGCAATTCCCCCATTGCTCTATTGAGCTTTCATTTTATTTTTTTTATACATCCTAAGTAGCTAGTATTTTAAAATTAAAATCTTTTCTATGTAATTTTGTAAATAAAATTTGTTTGGGGTTTAAATAATTCATGTTATGTTTGGTTTCCATAGTTTGAAATTATTTTTAAATAGTAAAAAATACAAAAGTAATTTTGTTACCTAGTCACAACTACTGAATTTAAATTCACTTTTTATTCCAATTTTGAGTTTTATAGACTTTTTACTTGCCAATTTTTTATGCATACAGTTTAGAACCTTTTTATTTTCCTATAGTAAAAAAGTCATATCCATTAGTTGCAGTTCCTAAATAATGGAACTTAAAGCAGTTATTTAGTTATTTCAAACACGAGAGCCAATGGAATTTATTTGACTGGCATACAATGAAGTTGCTGAAGATATAGGAGTTGAAGTCATATTTTATTTATGTCTGTTTAACATTACTGTGATAAACAGATACATTTTTTAAAATCCATAAATTTGGATAAAAAATGTATCTGTTATCAATTATTGTACGATATATATATTGTTGTGTTGTTAATACAGTAATAGGCTACCTAATTATAAAAATGTACATTGTGTCTCGTTGAAGTCATAAACTTTCAAAAAATCAATTAAGACATGTTTGGCTGTAAATAACATGAAGTTTTAATGCTACTGAAATCAACTCATTCATGGAGAAGGTACAGACGAAACACTCAACATGGTACACTAAAGCTAGGGTTTCCAAGAACACGCCAGAGTGATCTGTCCGGCGTGATGTCCGTTGGCGCCAATTTTTGTCCGGCGGATGTCCTACCAAGCACCGCGTGAGGGTGGTTTGCAAGAAAGCGGATTTCGCGGTCATTTCTCTTGGGGAATGAGCTAGTTGTCAGTTTTTAACCAACATGGACGTTGTAACTGTTGCTCTGTTGCTGGAAGAAGAGGAGGAGGAAGAGTACATGTTATTGGAAGGTTTTCTTCATATGGAACCACACCCGATGTATGATAAAACAAAAGATGAGGGATGCTTCCATATTGTCCATATTGTCCTTGTGCGTCCATATTGTCGGGGGAGCGAGCTGGCGTAGTGGTTAGAGCGCGGGACTTCAGTCCCTGAGGTCCCGGGTTCGATCCCCGCCAAGTCACCAATGGATTTTATCTAAGTGATAAGGCCGCAACCCCTAGGTCTAGCCTGAAGTAGTGTGAAAAACAATCCCAGGCTCGTGCCTAGCGTCCTAGGACAAAAAAAAAAAAAATATTGTCCTAGTAGTTCTTCCTACTCATGTCATATAGCACCGGAAAACTACGAACTAAATCAATAAGTTTCTCATCTTTTTCCAATGAAAATACTTTTGATTCCATACTGACAATTAACTCTCTCTAGGCACAAATTTAAACACACCCTGCCCTAGGCACAATTTAAAAAAGAATAGTTTGAAAACAACTTGTCTGCACGGCGTGCACGCCAGAAATGACTTGGGTTTTTTTTAAACTTGATTACGTAATCACGCTTGTCCATTCACGCTGTCCGCCCGGCGTGATCTTGGAAACCCTAGCTTAAGGGTAAAAACAAAACATACATACAGCGATTGGGAGCAGAGCGGGCGGGCTGATCTAGAGCAAGCTGTAGCGGCGAAACTGAGAGCGACTGATGTCGCACACATGAAACGAATAGCGAGAGCGATACAAATGGGGGCTCGATCAGTCCAAGATTTCACATAGTAAGTTTGCACGCAATTTTTAGCACAAAGAAAACATGTGGTTAAAAACAATAATTTTGCGTGCTTCAAACCGATCGGAGTGGGTGCATGGTGCATGAAGTGAATGAAGTAAGTTAGGTGGATTGGTGGATAAAAAATTTTCACAAGATCGTTGCCCGCTCTGCTCCCAAATGCTCGAAAAAACAAACAAGATTGTTCTAAAGTTAACCGCTCCGCTACACTCGCAACAGCTGTTTGTGTGCGCGTTACTACTTGATTGTTTGGGCTTGATTTTGTTTCGCTCTAAATTGTGCCGCTCCGCTCCCAATTGCTGTACGTGTGTTTTTACTCTAAGTGGTGCCTAGCCGGAGTCGCTAGTGTCTATGGCAAAGTCCAACACCCTTACCCTCCATGTACTACACTACAACGCTCACGGTGGAGGAAGACCCTGTGCCCTGCACGATTTAGAATTCCTGCACAGTTTTCACAGCTCAGGTTCTTCCTAGCTCGTCACAAGTATATATTTCCAGCTCAACATTCCAAAGCTGAAAGGGCATGGCCGTCCCTTAAGTGTGTTTCCTCCGTTACTTCTCTATGACTGAACACTGAGTAGAAATTTGAGAAAACACATCAATATTGAAAATTACTATTTTATTTACACATTCTAAACACATATATCTTACAATAATATAGAATATACATGGAATATCACCATAACTTACAAATCAACATGTAATACATAACAATATTAACTAGTACTTACATTTCTGTTATTCACCTTAAAGGAAAATGTTTTAAGATCACATAATAATTTTACTAACTTAACTTGAATTGAGGTTTTAAACTTTACATCACTTCAGTAGGTACTGTAGTTGGTGTTCTGTAAACTGAACCATTCTAATTTAATATTACAATTCATTTAATGTTCATTTAAGATCCCTTCTTTAACTCTTGGCAAAATCGTACCTACATGACAAAACCTACGCATGAATAGTTTAGCTAATATATTTTGCTTTGTTCTTTTTTGCACCATATTTTTCTCCCTTAAATAAGTGTAGAAATTAACAGCTTTATTAAATAAACTATTGATAAACATTCTCACAAAACCTTCCTTGAATTCTTGAAATCATAGAAAAAACAATCCAAACCATTAACAACAGACTGACACCTAAAGAACAAATAAGTACACTGAGGGGTTAAACGAAAAAACAAAGAATATCAATATTGTCATGTCCCTTTTTGTTTTTTAGAAATAAGAACTAATTAATTTAAAGTTTGCACTAACTGGTGTGGTGAGTGTGTATTTAGTAATTATTTAGGGTTTTACTGACCCCTCAGTAATCTCAGTCCTTTAACTTGTACATGCCTGACAAAAAGAAAAAAACACTTAAAACTCTAACACTTTTACAATAAATAGAAATAAGTAATAAGAGTTTGGAATGGAATGTTATTGGTTTTTGTATTTCCACTCAACTATAAAGTCTGTCTTTGTTTAACATCCTAACATTAATATATGTTTTATACTTGCAACAATAAGCTAAAATAAAAATTTATTTGAGTGGTCATGATTTTATTCCCACCTGAAAATGCAGTATAACTTCAGTGGAAGTAAAATGTGGTAAAATTATACTTGCTAAGAAGATTCACTTGTAATTCAGAACCCAGCTAATAACTTAGTACAGACAGGATAACTCAATGGATGACTTATTAAAGGAGACTTCAAATATGTTCTCAGTAACAAAGGGGCTCTTGCCATAAAACTTTAGCAAAAAAAAATGTTCCACTCAAACATTTTATAAACAATCATTAGGTCTTCAATGGAAGTTTAGCAGGGTCAAAAGCTTTAAGCTGGGTGCCCCACTGGGTCGTTACGGACTATCGGTACGAGATATTTCAAAGTTAAAAACATTGAATTAAATGAGCATGTGCTCACTGCCTCGTCACGGCAGTCAACGGTGTTCTGATCAGATGTCCGATAGAAAGTCTGATACTACAAACTGTAGGACATTTCCATGACGGCGGATCCGCCCGATTGATCTAAAATGTCCTCTTCTACCAAAAATGCACTCACTACCGCACTTTCCTCCCCAACATTCATCTTTTAACAGATCCTCTCCCAAACTGACTCCTGTTTTGGCAGAAGGAGGTTGGAGGACAGTGTGCAGCAACGCCTGAACGGTGGAAAGCCCAAATCAGTGCGCGCATACCCTCTTAAAAATGATGTAATGGCCATGACGACCATACCCGACCGTACCAACCCAGTGGGTACCTAGCTTTTAACAGCAATTTTTCTACATACTGTATGGATGAAATTGAAGTTTGCCTATTAGGTACTCGAAATGCTTCCAGTTATGTTAAGGGATATTTAGTACTTGTATGACATCAGTTATTTGGAACTTCAAGTCAGGCCATTCCTTCTAAATCTCACAGTGTCATTGTTTCATTTCATTTTCTTCTTCAATAGTTTCTTGCAAGTTAGAGAAAATTCGTGGAGATGTTGAATATGATTTCTGTAAAACCTTTAATGATTGAGCTGGTAGTTCCTCACCCAAGCCTAGGAGCAGAGAATGACTCCTCGAGCGAGAAGAGGTAAGTGGTTGGGAGGAAGAAAGACAAATGTTGGGTAAACTTGAAACTGTTAGCGGCTCTTTGATGGCAAGAGAGGCCTGACTTTCTTTTCTAGGAACATTCATCCAGCTCCTACTTCTGAGGTCTTCAAAATCCTTCACACCGAGAGAGGGTTGGGTGAAGGGTTCCAATTCATTGTGACTAGTAAGGCTCTGAAATGAAGAAGTTATACTCTCAGACGAGCTAAGGTGGGATTGAGACATAGCAGAGGCTGTGCTCGGTTGTTTCAGTCTGCAATGAGAGTCGTTGCTCGGACGTCTACCAGAGTTGTCGCTCCAAATATCTCCAGCAGAGTCGTCAATCACTGGTTTCCACCGGACACCTTTCCATTGCCCTGAAGCAGTGCTCTGCCTTCGACTCAGTAGTTTCTTCATCGTTGATCTTTCATCACTTTTGAAATCTTTTACGTGTTTGTTAAAACTGTGTCTTAAACTCGACACTATGTTTCCAGTACTGCTGTATTTTATTGTACCGCCTTTAGACCGTCTAGTGGCTAAGGGTATTGAATTTCTACTTGAAGAAGTGGATTTGATCATTTCATTGCCATCTGTACTTTGCCCAAGGGAAAAGTCTATTTTTTCATGCAGTTTTTGTACTTGCTTGAAGCTCTCGTCAAATGGATTAGTTATTTTTATTCCCGGTGATTCGTGGTTCAATTGATTAGAATCTACACTGTCCAATGTTGATTGAGAAGGCCATTCGTGCATGTCAGGACGTACGAGAGTTGAGATAGGAATTGGTACCGGTATGCTCTGAGTCTGCCATGGTGCTCTTGTATCAAACTTTTTCAATCCGAAATGAGCTGTTACTTCTGCCGATTGAAAATTTGCTTCCACATCTCCACTATGATTGACACTAGGCCTCTCACTACTTGCCCTGAAACATCAAAATAGTTTTTTTGTAATATAACTAAAAGTCACAAATATCTGAAAAATATAGTCTAGGCATATTTAAAGTATTTTTCAAACAAAAGCATATTTTTTCACAAAAGTTTTTAATCCGTCCAATCCGTTATTACTTGTTACTAAACGTTGAGCTACATACAACACAACACCCTTCCAATAAATAGTATGGAAACCATGGCCCCCCCATTATTATACTAATAGCATTGACTATATAACACTACTACTACTAGTGTTATATAGTCAATGCTAATAGTCTTCTATATATTGACTATTGAGTGATTCCAACAGAAAAGATTTGCAATGTAAATGGGATGCTTTCACTTAATAATAAAATTAACAATTTACTACCTACACTTAAATTTTTACTACTTTTAACAAATTATTGTAACTTTATAAAGTATCCTTATATATAATACGTGAAGGCGATTTCTACGAAACACTACTCCTCCGTTTATAATGGACGGATTTTTACAAAGGATATGTCAAAATTAAGTATTTTTTGTGTAGACGCCCCCTTTCACCAATTCCTATAACAAAAGTCCTCGGACGTTGCCCCACAGGCTATCAAAATCCCAATGTATTTCTTATGAAGAAAAGATTTTGTTTACTTAAATGGACGAATAATTCTTATTAATTACAGCTGTTCATAGTAAACACATGACACACACAAAAGGACTCGTTTTCAGAGCAAGTCCGTTTTCAGTTTCGACAATTGGAGTGAGTTATTGATTACATTATCTTTGAGTTGACTCTTTTTAAGTCATTGGAAGTTATGGCTGTTATTCGTTTTTAAATAACGCCTGTAATAATTTGAAATTGCTCGAATGCGAGCAACAGGTGCACGGTGCACTAGTATATTGCTAATAGTGGTAAGAAATGTTATATTGTGTAACCCAGGTGTTTGGACTAGAGGTATTACAAAAAGTCATCTGGGCCCCATTTTATCTAAAACTCTTACAAGAAGTGTCACACTCAATTATCTCCAGCAATTTTGATTACACCAGTAGCTAAGTTTTTTTTTACTGATTTAACACAGTGACATCGCTAAACTTTTAGAACAAATTTGAACTCTTTGATTCGTAGTAAGCAACACGACATTTTATCTGAAAATTGCCTTGGTGATATGTTATGCATTAAAAAAAATTGTCTACCTACTGCTAAAAGCCATCCAACCAAACCAACAACCATCCACCATGCAACCAACAATAATTTATTATTTTTACTACCACTCTGCTTGGAAATGATCACATATCGCTACAACTGTAAACAGTACGCAAAATAACTCTTTTCTGCTTTATTCATTCCCACTCGCTAAATCAGCTGATCTCACTGTTGGCGTTTATATGAAACACTAATCTGGTAAGCAAATAATATAGCTTAAATATTTAAACATTACCTAGATGACATTTTTATATACCGTACGGCTAAACAGTTATTCTTTGTGTCATGAATGCCGCTCTCGAAATGTAGCAGCACAGTTTTCGAGCATCAATGATGTACTTTGCGCTCTTCATACACAAATAGCTATATTCAACAATACTTGTCCTCAATGATGTCCATTTTTATTTGCAATTTAACTTTTAGCATCAAACCTACGGTATATGAATCACACTGATACACTCACATAATTTAATTCTGGGAGTTACTCAATAATTGAGCTGAATGTTTGTTTTTTTTGTTTTTTTTTGTTTAGTTTGTACTTGTCTCATGAATAAGTCAAATCAATAACCCTATCTATTACTGATATGTTCTTGTTTTAAAATCAAATAAAAAAAGGCTATTCATACTCTACAAATGCTGGAAGCATGACATACTCCTGCATCAAGGCTTCTGAAAAAACAAAATTGTTGTTACACTTTTTGAAAAGCGAAACAGAAAGGTATGGTCAGTGGGTGGGCGGTGCTACGTCTTACCGCCAAATACCTGCGGGTGGACTAACAGCGTTCATCAGGTTGGTGAAAGACGAAGTTTTCTTCGGAGAGCTTCCTCGTTTGCTGCTGCTGTCTCTGTCATCCTCTTCCTCCTCGGATATTTCTGGCAAGAACATCGACTGCTGATCCTCTGGGACTCTGCAGAGCAAAAATGATTTGATCAGGATTGTGTTGTTCTAGAACACTCGATACAATTTGAATAGGTTTTTAACAACACATACAGGTTTTTTAACAACACATGTTTTTTTTTTCAAACGCAACCCAAATAATTACAATTACTGTGAGACACTTTTCAACAACAATACCACCTTGTATGTTGGTATCCCTGTTTTTGTTACTTCAGCTAATAAAGAATGCTAATACAGCACTTCAAGACACAGTATAGGTGTATGTATTTGGAACTAGAGATGTTTTATGTCTGTAATTTTGTTTTTATGTAGGTAGTTGAAAAAAGGAAAGTAACATATTCTTATTAGTAAAATAGTGGGTTCTTAGCATCATCATAATACTGTTGAATGGCAAGAAACCATCAGTTTTTCAATTTGAAACCATCAAGTTCAATGGTATTATTTTTTTTGTGATTCTTTAGTATACGCAAGACTAAAGATATATGCTTAAAGTGTAACTGCATTATAATGTACATCACCGCAACTTGCACCAAAAAACTAGTTACAATTTACTGGTACAAAACAAATTTGACTTACTGCATATTATGAACAGATCCTCTGTATGTTTTCTTCTTATATGCAAAAGCTGCTCCTGTGTATGGCAATATCAAGTTGATATCGTCAAAATATTTATCTTTGACTAAAGGAGGATATCTTGACATAAGAGTGTCTACCCCAAGGTAGGAGACCTGTAAACAAGAAAATACAATTTCTAATAGAATCTAACCAATTTATTCATGTTATATTTTAAGGGAGAGCCATATTTGGTTGTTAAAGCATATATTTTGAGATGGAATAAAGTTCTCTGAAGAAGTCCGTCTACATCTTGACGAAATATCTCTTCCCTGGAAAAATCTCCCCTGGAAAAATTCAGAGGCTCACAATGCAAGAAGATGTACATGGGTAAAATAAAAAAAATAATATGAAATGAATGACTATTTATCTAAATATTAATGAAAATCCCTGTATGTTTTCTGTTTGAAATGGTTAGCCACATTTCACATTCAGATGTTACAACAGTTGACAAAGTTTGCTTCATTGTTCTGACTGTGATTTTTGTAGTAGAAACTAAAAACAAAACAAATGTTAATCCCTAATTTTGTCTACATCAAAATATTGTACATTTAGTCAATAATTGTCAGTCGGTAGCTTATCAAACCTCAGACTCATTGTGACATGTCAATTGTTCACAATAATTGTTCTAAAAATTATAAAAAAATCTACCTTAGTGTGTCTATCAATCAGCCAGTTCAGTTCAAAGTCCTCATCATCATCACCGAACGGGTTTATAAGTTGTTCAGCAACCTAGAAATGGCGTTTAAGTTAAATATATACCCTGTAACAATAAAGATTATCTAAAAAATATTTTGGTGCTTTAATTTAGTTTTCGTCATACTGCAGCAATAACAGCAGTTTTTAATGTATTTCTTGCAAGTGCCCTAAAGTAGCATTTAAAGTTGCACTCTCTAAGGAGTACAAATTAGCGGTAGTCAACTCTGTTGTAAACAAACAATCGCATGTATCGAAAGTGTTTATTGATTGTTTTATTGGTTGTACCTTATTGTTACCTTATTGAAAAAAAGTTTGACATATCGATAGTATATAACATACACTAACACAATGGTAATAGATGACACAATTGAATCACTTACTAAACATCTGCTTGTTTCCTTTAGCAAATTAAATTGAAAACAGGTCAGAAGTACTTTTAAGAGGTTATCCTTAAATGAATTTATTTTAGCTTTGTAACATAGTTTGTTCAAATAATGGTACTATATGATAACAATAATATAGTTCATCACACGGGCAAAAAGTGTCCTTTCAACCCTTGCTCATTTTCTGAGCTAGAGTTGAAAAGAGTCACTTTACGCAAGTGATGAAATAAAATACTATTTCATTTTATTGGTTTGTATAAAAACAGGAAATCCTCAATACAAATATTAAAAATAACACTTTTGGTATAAATTGGGATATACTGTAGTCGCAGAATCACTAAATAACAACTTTTATTGCAGAATGTGTATTAAGATTCACTCATTGAATAGTTTATAATTCTACATTGTTCTAAAAACACCAATTCTAACAATCATTTCACATTTATACAGGGTGAGGCAATGAAAGAGCCTCAAAATTTATAAATAGTACAAATTCAACAATATTCACCCTATAGATATAAATAGCACATCCAAACACAGCTTATCTTTTTCCATTTTAACTTAACAAAGTCATTTTTTCCATTTCTTGAAAAATATCTTGTAAGTGAGTGACGTCCTTGTCCTACTTGACATTCCTTTTTACTTACTTTAAAACTCCATGAAATACTACTCCAGAATTTCTTCTGGAATCACTTAAGTTTTTGGACAATTCTTAGCTTCGTTTCAAGCAAATCTGTGGGGCGACTTTGAAAAACATCGAACTTCAAGTAGCTTATCAGAATAACTCCCGCCCCCCAAAAAGAAGAGCCGATGTAAAGCTTTCAACAATAACAAAAGCTTCCTGGCAAATCTCTTTGGTCTTCGAGTTACTGTGACTCACACTCTTTCAACATTTGCTGGTGTACAAAGAGTTTTGCGGCAACCACCGATTATTTTTAAGGTTTAAGCTGTTATCCTAAAAATTTTACTCAGTTCCCCATTGTTTTCCAATCTAGAACAGTGCCATGTTGACCAAGGATTGAATGTGGTACAAACAATCTCTGGGTTTTTGCACAAGAATCACTATTTATAAAATAGATTTCCACATCAAAATCTCAGTTTTATAGCCTCAGACATAATGTTTACTAAAATGGCATAGTTTAATTGATGTTATAAGCACAGCTGTTCATAGCTGTTCATTCATTGTTGCTTTTCTTATAGTGTGACAATGAAAGAAAATCGGGGTGCTCTCACTGCTTCACCCTGTACATGTTTGAGTCTTGATTCTTGAATTATAGTTTCAGAACTTGAATTAGGTATAGTATTATAGACTTTCAAAATTGAAACCTTGACTACTTGTACTGAAAATAGGATTAAATTAAATAATTAAATTAAGGATTAAATGTAATAGGATTAAAAAATCAAGAATCAAAATCTATAAGCGTTAAAACATTCTGAGGTGAAAAATACTAAAATTATGTGTTAGGATAGAGACAGTCTTTTATAAATACTGTATATAGCAACAATACAAAATTTAATCTTTATCACTCAAGCTTTTATGAAATCTTCATTCAGATATCCTTTTAAAGACTATTTTGTTTGTAACAAACTTTTATCACAAAGTATAAATAGTTCTCCTATGAGCCTCAATCGAAGTGAACACTTACCTTTAAGAGACCCATGTAGAAAAAGAACTGTAATATTGTGAAAAGAGGAATGTAGATATCAACTTCCATTTGGAACTGTTTCTTCTGTTGACTTGTAGTTTCGTCAACATATTGTCTTCCAACCAGAGCTGCTAGGAAGAAGGAGTAAGTCGCCAAAGTTACTACCTATACATAAAAGGCAAATATAAGTATTCATCTCATCCATACATACATTCTATACAGGGAGGAATTCATCATGTTTTTATGGTATAAATCCAATTTCCATAAAAAATCCGGTTCAAAAGTTATTGTACCTTGTTATATTCCATAAAAAACAAAAAATCAGATTTCAGGAAAATTGCTGGTTTTGGTTAAAGTTAATGTGCTATGGTGATTATAATTTTAAACAAAATAGTGCAACCCCCCATTGCTGTAACAATTATGGTTCAAAAGCTATTGCAACTTTTGTGATTTTCCCTATAAAATATCATAGTTACTCCCACCCCATAATAAAGGTTATTGAGAAGCTTATGGGAGAAGGTATGTGTCAATTATTGCCAATACCGTTTATTTTTTAATATGCCTGGATTCAAAAATAATTATTTGACTTAGAGCCCTCTCCCTTTTACATGCAGTCCAGTTATTGCGGATTCAATTTGTAAATTCAACCTTCAATTTTGCATGAGAACTGAGAAGGTATGATGATTTATACATCTTTGAACTCCATTTTATTATTTACATTAATTTAAGTCACATACAAATGTATTTTAGCATTTTAACCATAGTATTCAAGTATGCAGTTAGGTATACACAATAGGTGAGCACCTTAAGGCTTTCTCATAAGCTCATGATAGCACATGGTACGTAGTGTAGAGCTATTATTATAAACATAAGAACACTGACACTGTACCAATTATGGCCACTTTGAGTATCTTCTGCAAACATGTTTACTAAGATCCCATATCAAGAAGTTCAGTTTAACTTCTACATGTTTCAAGGGGGTTTTTAGACCAAATTGGCTTAGTCTTTAATTATTTAGCCACACAGTTACTCATGGATTAACATGATTGATTGATTGGAACAGAACATGATTGATGAATTTACCTGTGTATAAACTAACGGGATACTGATCCAGTCGTAACTCCACAATAAGCCACACTTTGACCGAAACTCGTTGAACTCCTGTAACAGTAATAAGCATTTAGATACTTTGGTGGACCTCCAATCTATACAGATTAGATTGAAAATTTTTTTTACAAAAAAGAACATTGTTGATTGAACCACTCACAGAGTGTTACAGTATACAATTTTTATATTTTTTTAAAATATTTTCTCCCTTAGTATTAAACAAAAAATGATACAGCTTACAATAAGTTGTCTTATCAGTTTGACTTGCTTAAAAAGTAAGCGTATTGAAGATAAATCAGTAATTTATATTGCCATAATCTGTCAGTGACTAAATTCAACTCCATTTTAATTCTAAAACTTATGACAAAAATTCAACAAGGACATTGAATGTTTGTCTTCAACAAACAACTGAAAAAATTAAATGAGCGTACAGCTACAGCACTTGAATAAACCACAGAAAAGATGCCCAACATATATTTTGTAGCTAATTGTTTGTATCGTATTTAGTTCTTCTTTTTGGGAACATTGCAACACTAATCATTGTATTATTTTGATGCATTCTACAATCGACAACTGTAGACAAACTGTGGATAAATAGTCAATAATTCTACTCTAGCTATGTGGTTCTATAGAAAACTAATATCCCGCAGGATATTATATGGAAAAAGGAATTAACTTTTTAACTGAATGTAGCTTTATCAACTGCCCGGGCCTTCACAGAGAGTTATAGTTGCAAATAAAGACACAACCTTGTTGTAACCTCTTTGGTTAATCAACCATATTAGGTGTATTGCTAGCCTAAGCCTAGAGTTTAACATCTCCAACTTTAGTGCGAGAAGGAGCGTGTTTGATCCCCAGCACATCCAACAGAAATTTCATGGGTTTGGACCGCTTTACCGTAAAAGCGTTTGTGATAATGCTATTGGCCAAGACACTAACACTTACTGACCTCCACAATTATCTTCAGTCCCTGGGAGTCAACGATTCGATTGGACTTCTTAGTGTCTTTGAGCAGAGCTATGAACCAAGTACAAGGAATCCAGTAGGTGTTAAATTCCATGTTGGGAACTGCTTGAAACATCTCTAGCTCAAGACGGGTCATGAACCCTGAAAGAAGCCAAACGTTAAAATCCTGCAAAAGGATTAAAGATTTCATTGAGAAATCAATAACTGTTTGTGACCCACAAACTGACTAGTTTAGATGGGTTTTTATCACCTTTGTCTCCAATTAGTTAATCTAATGCTTAGTGATTTAGGTGTATACCCTATACTCTAATACGAGCAATGTTTGCTTGTACGTATGTATGTATGCTTGCTTGCTTGCACCAAGATCTCAAAAACGGCTCCGACGATTTTCTACAAATGTGAATAGTTTATTCCTGGCCTAAAAACGAGTTTACTGCAGTTAGAACTGCCAACAAAAATCTAATTACGTAGAAAAATGAAACTGAAAGTCACATTTTTTTAACATTAGTCTTATGGGTTGCTAAGTAACCATCTTGGCTGAATTACATAAAAAGTAAAAAGTAAACAAAAGACTTGTAAGTTGTCTATCCACAGTATACTAGCAAATTAAAAATACAGTACAAGAGGAAAAACATCAGTCGTTACTATTGAACAAAGATTATACTGAAGATTACTCGATACATTGTAGTCAAGGGTAGCAGCATAGATAAAACATACTCCCCTAGTAGATTTCTCATCCTTATGGAACAGCTGAAGACAATTTTATTGTTAGTTCCTGTACGGTTTATGTAGAGGTTGTGTTTTGTTTACAATTTGTTTCCCGTTATTACAGCCATTTAAAACCTCGTTTAACCAAATAATACGATCTAATCATAGACAACAACTTGTCCCCTAGTTATTTAACCAAACAGTAAAGCACAAATCAAGAAATTAACCCTAAAATAATAGAAACAAAATTTCGTCGACACTAGCGCCCAGTGTGGCGTACATGAACTAGACATGAAAAACGAGCTTCAAAATTTACAATGGGATGAGAAGTCTACTTGTGTTGGTTAGTCTATGGTAGCAGCAAGAGGCCTTGGTAGCAGTGTGGAGTGTGGGATCTGTTTATGACGATTAGATTACGGTATCTGCAATCCTTAAATGCTATGGGAAGGGAAGGAAACAGGTCCGCGATGTAGGAAGTAGTAAAGGAGAGCAGTCCGGAGTGTGGGAACTGTTTATGACGATTAGATTAAGGTATCTGCAATCCAAAAATGTTTTAGGAAGGGAGGAAAACAGGTCCACGACTTGGAAGTGGGGAAGGAAGCAGAGAAGGCGAGCAGTCCGTAGTGTGGGAACTGTTTATGTAGATTAGATTTAGTATCTGCAGTCCAAAAATGCTATGGGAAGGGAGGAAAACAGGTCCGTGACGGAGGAAGTGATGAAGGAAGTAGTAAAGGTGAGCAGTCTGGAGTGTGGGAACTGTTTATGACGATTAGATTAAGATATTTACAATCCTAAAATGCTATGGGAAGGGAGGGAAACAGGTCCGCGACGTAGGAAGTGATGAAGGAAGTATTAAATGCGAGCAGTCCGGGGGGGGGGGGGGAACTGTTTATGACGATTAGATTAAGGTATCTGCAATCCTAAAATGCTATGGAAAGGGAGGGAAAAAGGTCCGCGACGCAGGAAGTGGTGAAGGAAATAGTAAAGGCGAGCAGTCTGCAGTGTGGGAACTGTTTATGACGATTAGAAAAGAGTTATCTGCAATCCTTAAATTCTATGGGAAGGGAAGGAAACAGGTCCGCGACGAAGGAAGTGATGAAGGAAGTAGTAAAGGCAAGCAGTCCGGAGTGTGGGAACTGTTTATGACGATTCGATAAGGGTATCTGCAATCCGAAAATGCTATGGGAAGAGAGGGAAACAGGTCCGCGACGTAGGAAGTGGTGAAGGAAGTAGTAAATGTGAGCGGTCCGGAGTGTGGGAACTGTTTATGACGATTAAATTAAGGTATCTGCAATCCTAAAATGCCGTCGGAAGGGAGGGAAACAGGTCCGTGACGTAGGAAGTAGTGAAGGAAGTAGTAAAGGAGAGCGGTCCGGAGTGTGGGAACTGTTAATGACGATTAGATTAAGGTGTCTGCAATCCTAAAATGCTATGGGAAGGGAGGAAAACAGGTCCGAGACGTAGGAAGTGGTAAAGGAAGTAGGCAAGGTGAGCTATCCGGAGTGTGGGTACCGTTTATGACGATTATATTAAGGTATCTGCAATCCTAAAATGATATGGGATGGGAGGGAAACAGGTCCGCAACTTAGGAAGGGGTAATGGAAGTAGAAAAGGCGAGAAGTGTGGAGTGTAAGAACTGGAAACAGTTTGTAGCAGTTAGAATAATGTATCTTCAATACTGAAATGCTGAGAAGGGATGGAAACATGTCCACAACAAAGGAAATGGCGAAAGAATTAGTAAAGGGCTAACTACAGTACGGAGTGTGGGGAATGGGTTCATGTATCTGCAATAATAAGACTGCTTTCAGAGTAAACTAATGATTTTCCCCGAGCAAAGCTCGGTCCCCAGGTACTGTTATTAAAACTTAAAACCGTTTTGTCACTTTGTTTTAGGACTATATAGCAACAACAAAACAGAAAATTAAGGTACCAGTAGTACATCTCTGTCCATAAGTACATATCTGTCCATCCATAATGCAATAATTAATTGTGATTGCATTTTTAGCAGTCCCTGTAAGACTTTACAGGTCAGAAAATTCTTTTCCCACTGTTGAATGTTGGGCATTTGGCTGCCAGAAAAGTAAAGCAATCTTGTGTGTTTCACAGTGACTTACAAGTGGCTTAAACTACCATTGTAAAGACACATAAGAAAATACGAGATAGTTAACTTTTTTAGCTACTGTATTATTAAAACTTTACAAGTCTTCTATCCCTAGCAACGTCAACAAAATTTAGGTGGTTTAGAAGAAGAAATCTCTTCCCTCAACTTGATCCTAGCTTTAAAACATTAGCTCAACAGCTGAGATATGCCAAGACGTCATTCAGTTGCAACATATACATTAAGCGAAACAACTAGTGGAGAAACTTCCCTTCAAACCGCCTAAATTCAGTGACCAGACTAGTAGGATAGAAATGAATATTGGGAATTAATAACTAATACGAATACTAAAACAATTGGCTTTATACTTGTGTGTGACCTGCTTCTACAAGATGATCCATGGTGGGAAAGCGGCGTTTGACAGCCGAGCTGATGGATCTCAGCACCAGGATGAGAGACAGGTTGAGGTATCTCATGAGAGTCCTGCGGATCATACGACCCTGGATGTCGTTACCTCCGATGTAGAGGGCCAAAGAATGCATCACCCTGCGACATGTAATAGTTAGATAAAGAACTTTAAGTGTATCCTCGCTACTTCCTACTGTCCATTAATCTGTTGAATTTTGGATACTGAATTAGACATCAATGTGAACTAGTGTAGCTGTAGAAAGTTTTGAAGCAAAATAGAACATAGTGAATTTAGCCACTGACAAAAAGAGCTTCTGTACATTTTTTGTTTGTTTTTAAAACTACAATAATTTATGCAACTTAAAAATGCTGTATTTTGCAAAAAAGATTTTTTTTTTTTCAACAGAAATCAACAATTATCATCTGCATACTCTGACAATGGCTCATTCCAGCATTATATTTTCGTTCTGAAAATGCTGACAACGACTATATGAGAATGACATCGCTTGTTCTATCTATATTCAAAGACTGGAGTCAATAGTAATAGTGTGATTTGAATAAACTCCATGAATAGTAACGCTGGAAAATGATTACTCAAATTTTAATTGTCAGGAACAAACAAATTATGAATGAAGAAACAAATCGGAAATTGAAAAATTGTAGTCTTTACTGTTTTGACCTCGTTGCAGAGTGAGTGTAATCTTCAGGGCGACTTGACTTTCAGACAGTTTGCATAGCAAGTCAATGTTGATGAATTAAAGTATTTCATCGTTTTTACAAGGTTGACTTCCGAAGACAACGAATCTAAAATCAGTAACCGTGGAAGCCTGTCTACAAAGATTAAATTTAAAATTGCCAACAAAATAAAAATAAAATAATTCAGAGTTACCTACCAATAAAAAATAATGAAAATGTGTTTACCTACTTGTCAGGCCAAGGGATGGCCATGTATTGCTGCCACCAGCGACCGGCTACATAGGCGACGTAGAAGCCGAGCACAAACGACAGAGGTATGAAGGCGATGAACATTTCACAATACACCACAACCTTCTCGAACAGCCTGTAGACAGGTGATAAAGTCTGTAAAGTACTGTTATGTCTCTTAGTTAATATCAGCCTTAAAAATACCTAATGGAAACAGTAGGGTAGAATGATGTTGATTGCTATATAGGGGTAAATCACGTAAATCATTGTCACATTGAGTAGCATACATAAAAAATAGTACACAGTAGCCTATCTGGGACGGTGGTGTCGTCCTGTAATCCAGCAACTTGGAGGTCACAAATTGTGGATGTTAATGCATGCACTGTGTATGTGATACTCCCTGGTGTGGAATAACGTCCGCACTAGTGAGTACTATGACTATCTGCAGTGCTATCCTGATAATTAGACAAATTCGTTAATACCAATGCAAAAAAATTTGGTTTGGATTCCACTATAAACTGTAGGTCCCTTAGTTGTCATTATGGGTTATTAATTAACAGCTGTGTCTAAGGAATATGTCGGCCTTAGTCACTAACAAGACTACAATATCGCGCCACTCATTCTACACTCATCTCCATTCGGACTTGGCTTTAAAAATACCTACCTTTGTATGGTCGCCATTTCAAAGGAAAGTATTAAAAAATAAAAGTTAGCTATCAAAGAAACTAACATTATAAGGGTTATGGGCTTTAAAGATATCAGCAGTCTCCGATTGGTCCAGATGAACAATTTATGTAAATTTATTTAACATGATAGTTCATTTCATTTCATTTCAAACAATCTTTATATTTACAGTACATTGAACAGTGTCGAAAAGTGATTCTTTATTATAACTTAAAACTGTTTTCTAACTGATTTCTACAATTTTTTACCATAAAAAAGACTATACTATTACAATAGAGATTCTCAACAAAACAAATAGGCTAACAATCATAAATAAAATAAGAAAGCGGTAAAATACTCTAAACATCCAAAAGCCCTTCAAGTCCCAAAAGGTTTTGAATTAAACTCTGGGTCAAGAAATTCTTGTATATTATCTATACAATGCTTTAGTCGTTATAACATCTTTAAGTTTCCTTTTTAATCTTCTTGGATTCGGCTCTTGTCTTAAGGTTAATGGTAATTTGGAAAAAAATAATGCTCCAGCATAAGTAGGTTTCTTTTTAAATAGTTCCAAATTATGTATGGGTATTGCAATATTGTTCCTATTTCTAGTATTATATTCAATATTCATGAGTACTTCCTAATGGTTTTAGAGTATGTTCCTTTTCCTTGAAGTGGATGATATGTATACATCCCATAGACTGTCATTATCTTAAGTGAAATAAAAAATTCTTTTACATGTGTTTTTCACTGTTTTTTTTTATATTTAAGAATTGTATACATATTATTTAAGCTTGTACAACCATATAAGGAGATGCCATAAGATATTATTGAATGTATATATGAAAAATAAACTAGTTTTAAGGTTTCAGTTTCACAGAAATACTGCAATCTACTAAGGGCAAAGACACCTGAAGATATTTTAGCAATTAATTCTTGTACGTGGGAGTTCCAGTTTAGATTTTGATATATTTTTAGACCTAAATATTTAGTTTTGTTTGTTTTACTAATTACTTGATTTGTTCCGATATTTAGACTATCAGATGGATATTTTGCAGCCTGAGGGGTTTTAAAATTGATGAAAATTGTTTTTTCTTTATTTATTGCTAAATTATTCTGAGTGAAAGTAACTAGACAAAGTGGTCATATTATATTAAGAGCGTTTTCTCAATCAGATCGAAAATATAAAAAAAATTACCTATCCCATTCTCATAAACTGTTTAGTCTATTCTTTACAATATTATCACTGTAAACATTCCGAGCTGAAGAATCAGCTGTTAAATTTCACATTAAAACGTTGTAAAGAAAGTTGGTCAGCATCACTGGTACTTTGAAATCAAACTCTAGAAAAAATTGAACTGTAAAAGCAAAGTCTCACAAGAAATTAAATTACATTTTTAGTTACCTTTCATAACATAACTCTGCTAGATCATCAGTTTTGAATTGACACCTCAATCGTAAAAATCAATTAGGTAGGATGGCTGGAAAAATAATGTCAAGTTCCATTTAAGTTAAAAGTAAGATGTTACAGAGAAACCCCTTATCATTTTAAGTATATAGAATCTTTGGTCCAAAGGACCAAAAGACAAATGGCAAAGCCATTTTACATCCTTTTTTTAATCGCAAATTATCTTTAAATTTTTCACAAAAATTCATGAAAGGAGCTCAGTATCCTTCATTATATTAGCTGACTGCATGTGATTTTAAAACCTTTTGGGTTTTATATATTTTTTCCCACCAACTCTATTCATTCCAATGTTTTGCCACTGTGGGTTCATTTGAAATGTTAATGGACGGTTCTGCCATTGATACCAATGAGGTAAAATTTATAAAAAATAAAATTTTGAGTGTCACACTGCGACAGTTTATTTTGTCGCAGATATGTTGTCCCAGCCAGCGGTGTCCAACAGTCCCACGTGGGACTGGGAGTGTCGAGGTCCGGACAATAATAGCAACAGGTCTGGCTAAACTCATTCAAAATAGAAGTAATCTTTGTCTGGCTACTATTATTTGTCAACTGCTGAAAACTGTTAAAATCCTCTCAAGATGAACTTGATTCAAAAACACTTTCTGAGTGTGGAGTAGGATTTTAGCGAATTTCCCTATAGGGAAAAGTAGCTATTACCGTAGGTCTCATGGTAAGACTTAGGCCCGGGACCGATTTATTTTTTTATTTTGGTGTCCCAAGAGGCCAAAAACACCATTCGTTCAAATTTTTATATATGTATATATATATATATATATATATTAAAATTAAAACATATATAACAAAGTACCCTTTTAGTAATTATTTTATTTTTCATGACGACATGTTTCGGAACTAAGTCCATTGTCAAGTCATTTTTACCATAACCTCATTCTTTAAACTAACAAAATTAAAAATATAATCATATGTAAAAATAATAAAATATGTTAACTAAATCTTAATACATTTTGGTATTAATTTTTTCATTATACTATATGAATGTTTTTCTTTCTTTCCTTAGTTTTTCAATTTTATCGTAGATAGGTTGGTTTAATTTTGGAATCATTGTGTTGAGTTGAAAAACATTCATATAGTATAATGAAAAAATTAATACCAAAATGTATTAAGATTTAGTTAACATATTTTATTATTTTTACATATGATTATATTTTTTAATTTTGTTAGTTTAAAGAATGAGGTTATGGTAAAAATGACTTGACAATGGACTTAGTTCCGAAACATGTCGTCATGAAAAATAAAATAATTACTAAAAGGGTACTTTGTTATATATGTTTTAATTTTAATATATATATATATATATATATACATATATAAAAATTTGAACGAATGGTGTTTTTGGCCTCTTGGGACACCAAAATAAAAAAATAAATCGGTCCCGGGCCTAAGTCTTACCATGAGACCTACGGTAATAGCTACTTCCCTATAGGGAAATTCGCTAAAATCCTACTCCACACTCAGAAAGTGTTTTTGAATCAAGTTCATCTTGAGAGGATTTTAACAGTTTTCAGCAGTTGACAAATAATAGTAGCCAGACAAAGATTACTTCTATTTTGAATGAGTTTAGCCAGACCTGTTGCTATTATTGTCCGGACCTCGACACTCCCAGTCCCACGTGGGACTGTTGGACACCGCTGGCTGGGACAACATATCTGCGACAAAATAAACTGTCGCAGTGTGACACTCAAAATTTTATTTTTTATAAATTTTACCTCATTGGTATCAATGGCAGAACCGTCCATTAACATTTCAAATGAACCCACAGTGGCAAAACATTGGAATGAATAGAGTTGGTGGGAAAAAATATATAAAACCCAAAAGGTTTTAAAATCACATGCAGTCAGCTAATATAATGAAGGATACTGAGCTCCTTTCATGAATTTTTGTGAAAAATTTAAAGATAATTTGCGATTAAAAAAAGGATGTAAAATGGCTTTGCCATTTGTCTTTTGGTCCTTTGGACCAAAGATTCTATATACTTAAAATGATAAGGGGTTTCTCTGTAACATCTTACTTTTAACTTAAATGGAACTTGACATTATTTTTCCAGCCATCCTACCTAATTGATTTTTACGATTGAGGTGTCAATTCAAAACTGATGATCTAGCAGAGTTATGTTATGAAAGGTAACTAAAAATGTAATTTAATTTCTTGTGAGACTTTGCTTTTACAGTTCAATTTTTTCTAGAGTTTGATTTCAAAGTACCAGTGATGCTGACCAACTTTCTTTACAACGTTTTAATGTGAAATTTAACAGCTGATTCTTCAGCTCGGAATGTTTACAGTGATAATATTGTAAAGAATAGACTAAACAGTTTATGAGAATGGGATAGGTAATTTTTTTATATTTTCGATCTGATTGAGAAAACGCTCTTAATATAATATGACCACTTTGTCTAGTTACTTTCACTCAGAATAATTTAGCAATAAATAAAGAAAAAACAATTTTCATCAATTTTAAAACCCCTCAGGCTGCAAAATATCCATCTGATAGTCTAAATATCGGAACAAATCAAGTAATTAGTAAAACAAACAAAACTAAATATTTAGGTCTAAAAATATATCAAAATCTAAACTGGAACTCCCACGTACAAGAATTAATTGCTAAAATATCTTCAGGTGTCTTTGCCCTTAGTAGATTGCAGTATTTCTGTGAAACTGAAACCTTAAAACTAGTTTATTTTTCATATATACATTCAATAATATCTTATGGCATCTCCTTATATGGTTGTACAAGCTTAAATAATATGTATACAATTCTTAAATATAAAAAAAAACAGTGAAAAACACATGTAAAAGAATATTTTATTTCACTTAAAATAATGACAGTCTATGGGATGTATACATATCATCCACTTCAAGGAAAAGGAACATACTCTAAAACCATTAGGAAGTACTCATGAATATTGAATATAATACTAGAAATAGGAACAATATTGCAATACCCATACATAATTTGGAACTATTTAAAAAGAAACCTACTTATGCTG